CTTCATAGTGCTCAACCAGTAAGTTTGTTTACAATTTCGTGAATTCAAGGGCATTCTAAGGTTCTGAAATTTAGTCGTTGCCGTTTGATAGATTCGAAAAATGGCAGAGCATTTTCATATCCTCTGATCCAAGTTTGATCATAAGACTGACTCTCAGAAGATGTGAAATTAGTAAATATAGATGCAGGAAAATTACTTCATCTTTATATTTGTAAGGAAAACACAGGAATAATTATTGTATAGGCTAGGCGAAATCAGAACATTCGCACTAAAAACATTACGTTGACGGGTTGGTTCGAAAATTAATTTTCGAACGGAAGGTTTATGTCAGATGGCAAAATCTTTGACTGTGATAACGTTGGCACGAGAACTTCGTCCTTCACCTAGTTCTAAAATTTCGTTTCCATTTGTCGATTACGGTTAGCACAAAAGCAAATATAATCAGTATTGTGGTCCATGTGCTCAACTAACAATGTGGGGTATTTCTATCCATTGTAGTCACTGTGATCGTACTCTGAGAGCATGCTCCTCAGATTGGCGACTTTCCAAGTGATGCTCTTTTGGCGCGCGTTGTCTCAATAAAAGCGGCAATTCATGTTGATGTTCCTTTTAAAATTATACATTTTTATTTACATGAATCGGAAGCGAGTTTGAGTTTGGCAACTGCCTCATCTGACGACGTATCCAGCACTTCAATGGAGTGCAACGGTGTCACGGTTTCTTCAGTAGGTTAGTTCCCCTGATTTTATCGTTATTTCTAAATACGTAGTTGGGAATAGCTGTTTCATTAGTTGAAACTTTTTCGTAAAACACTGCCGAGTTCTATATTTTGTTCTGTCATTCGGGAAAAGCACATTTCCAAGGTACTTCAGAGCTGTATTTACTTTATAGCTCTAAAGTACCTTTTGTTTCCCTTCCTTCAGCTGTGAATTAGAAATCATAATCTCGTTTGTGAAAGGGTTTTGTCATAAAAATCGTTTTTTTAGGAGGGGACCATAACTACTCAAGTTTACGCTTCCACTATGACGACGACACGCCTCCTCCTAGTTGGTTCTTTTTCTCTCTGACCAGTAAATGTTGTTCTATCTGTCGAAATCAACGGGATACTTTTTAAGGTGCAGCTGAAAACACTCGTGCCAATGATCAAGTCACGAGTAGCACACGACGTGTTCACATTCTTCCCGTTCGCAAACCACTCGACATAGAGTGTGAGCTTTTCGAGTTTCAGTCGACTAGTTCCTTGAGGACCAGCGAGTTTGTTAGGTTTGATGATTTGATATACTCGCTAGGTAGATGAATTACTAGTGCAAATCCCCTGCTTCCTTGCATGAGTGTTCTCCTAGTGTTCATTGTGACCTTGATGGGAATCGTATTCGTCGAATGACTTGAGACACATTGAAAAATAGCTCGTTTTCTTGAAATTCAAGATCTGAGTGGAGAATTGATCGGAGTTCTCGAGTTATGTATCGAAAATTTCTTTTGGAGCGATATTGCAAGCTTGCCAAAAACTTCTATCATCTCAATAGCATTTTAGTATCATTGTTTCTAGACACCTTGCCCTATTCTCCATCTGCCTTCAAGTTTGCGAAGGTGTCGTCGAGCTCGTTGATCGCGAAACCACCGATGATTGCTCCGACTCGTCCGCGCGTTGATCATCCCCCTAACTTGGGTAAGATAGCATTACATTTTCCTTTATTTCCAGGGCTAGAAATTAAGAAGTGTCTTCCAAACAACCGTTTAGTTGTCTGTCCTTTCTTTGCTCCTTTTTCAAGTTATTTGTTTCAGGTTCTCCCTTCACCTACTGTGACGAATACCATTCAGTAAGTTTCTTATGAATCTTCGTGAAAAACTTGGAGTAAGAGGGCAAAACATAGGCTTCCAGCACAATACTTTTCTAATAATTTTATTCCTTTTCATTGGCCTATTAAATTAGTTTGAGGGACAACTCACTAGTAGGCCTCCACTTTGTTCAAATGGCCTGGACAACTTTTTAATTATTGTATGCCGCTATATAGAACCAGTTGTTCTATTCACTCTATTTTTCATGTTTGGGAGGTGAAAATCAGCTGGTCACCTTTTCAAAAGTGACAGGAGATTGGCTCCAACAACGTTACTATGAGTATGTAGGTGATACACCCCATACGTGGTTTTATGGTCATACTCGTAAATCAGACCAAAAAGTCTGTCTCACAAGGTTGGCGATATATGAACAGAACCTCAGTCTCGGACGGGACTCGAACCCGCGCCTGTCCTTTCCGGAGAACAAGTTAACAAAGCATCAAGTCAAAAAAGTTTGTGTTATAAAGTTAAATGAAATTTTGTTGTATTTCTTTTATGAGTCCGCCACGTAATAAAAAGCAATCTGAGCAGCAGCTATGGCTAAAATTTGTGCACGTTCTGAAATTTTTATTCAGTCTTCACCGATATCCATGGAGTGTAACGCTAAAGGAATCTGTGGGGAGCGAGCTATAGCGGCATCGAAGTTAGTTCTGTCATTTACTACACCTCAGTTCATTATTATTCCAAGTAGTATCAATGGTGTGTCATAAAACTCACGTCCATTCAAATTTTTGGACTTGTTTTCGTTGTTTTATAGGTTTGATCAAGTACTAAACGCTCATTTTAGCTTCCTCAACGTGGACATCAGTGATAGTGTAACGACGAGCTCGTCATATTCCGAATCTGAGGACAGTCTGAGTAGCAGGCAGCAGATCACTGGTCCCAAATCAGTTTCGCCTTTCACGGTATCGACATAGGTCTGTAAAGGGCGTTTTTCATCTTAATCATTAAAAGCCGGTGTCATCTCCCCAACGGTGCTTTTGGATGTGTTCACATTCCAGCTGCTGTGATTTCGTCCATGATTTGTACCATTATTTAGCAATTTTTGTTCATAGATGTGTTGATAGTATTTCATTTTTTCTAGCATTTGGATATTTAGATATAAAGTATAGTCGAGCATTTAATCTGCATTTATGTAAGATCTCGATCTTCATAGATACCCTCCATTTTTGCGGCTACCTGAGTTCTTTTTTCCAAATATCTTTCCTGTACTCAAGGAATTCCAGCTCGAAAAAAGCACATGTTCTACATAAGACCAAATGCTTTAAGTTTGATAGCTCTTTAGAACCTTAGAATAGCTGTCGACATTTTTTTGCTGTTGAATTGACCATTATCATTCTCATTTGATAACGTATACACGTATAATATCGCATGTTGAGATGTTGAAGGTGGTGTCTTTCTGACTACGGATTTGTAGTACGGTTATTGAGTTGAATGGATTCTTAGTAACCTCCAAATTTCGTTTCTTTCTAGGGTTTTGTGTTGTACATAGTGTTAATGAGATGATTTTGTGTTGAGATTTGAAATTTCGTTTTGTGTTCATATTGTACTATACCTGTATTCCCGACCATGAAAATATTCCAATTTTTATGTTGTTCCAACTTTATCTGAAATAGGAGAGAACATACTGTCTTCTGGTGCTTTCGGTAGTATCGAGATCAACTGTCCAGAGGGGAGGGTCCGTCTCCGTCTGTTTTTATTTTTGCCATTCAATGCCATCTTACTGAGGCACGTTATCAATATTACTTCAGTGATCAGCGGTTGATGAGGGGATGGGGTAAAGGGAAAGTAGGGATAAGTAACGAATTTAATTTCCAGTGCCCGGTAAGTAATAGTAGTACCTCAAGCGACCTTCAAATATGTAGGTCCCAAATGTGGTGATTGCATATGGGCATTGTTTTCAGCGCCAATGCCACGGCGCATGGGTTTTTCCCCCTTTGAATCTGTGACAGCTCTCATGCCCTATTGTTTTGCTTTAGCATTTCCCATTGTTTCGAAAGGAGACGGGAAAACCTCCAAACATACCATAAAGTATCGCAGAATATTCTTATCACTTACTACTAAATAGGGTTCGCTCATGAGGAATTATGATGAAAGCAACAGCCTACCGTAGTCCTACCGTAACTAAATTGGTAGAGATTCCATGTCGATGTCATGTAGACGTATCGGTATATCAAACAACTAGGACTGGCCCTTAAAAAATGTCAGTAGCTGAAGGTACGAGGTCAGGAAAAGCCAAAGCGGGCCCATTGAGGCTTCAACTGCCAGAGATTCCCTTCTCGTGAGAGAACAATTTTCCCGACACGAATAGCGAAAGCCGCAAGGATGACACAATCGAAGTACAGTAGACAAGCTAACGCTCATTATCCTCCTATGCCCTCTAGTTGAAGACAAGGTGATGAAGGTAAAAACTCAAGTTGTCGGATAAAGGCATATTTTTTGTTGATTACCTTTGCAGTAAGGAGGACAGGTTAACCGCTTTCCAGGTGTCGGATGGGCTACAAAGGGTAACAGGGCTCCAAGAGGCTCATACTTTTGTGGGAACGCCACTGTTCTAATTGTAAATGCCTCATAATGATATCTGCGAGAGTCATAAGTAGAACCAAATCCGCCCAGAAAAAAATTACTAGCTCAGAAATCGCGTTTACACTTGGGTGTTTATACCCCATGTGGGTTCATGCACTTCACAAATGGGAAACGCGGTCAATTGACCTTAGGCAGGAACGGCCACAAGGAGAAAGAGGGTAGCGGGCAGGAGGGCCAGAGACATGCACTTGTTCATCCGAGGTGTAGGAGGTAGGAAGAACGATTTGCCTTTAGTAATGGCTCAGTTCCAAGCTTGGGTTAAGTTTGAGCTGTCATTTCCGCCCCCAACACTAAGGCCCACCCCCTTCGGAATCAATGCCTTCCTAGAGGACGAACAGATTAAAGGATCGTATTCTGGGGGAGATTTCAAAGAGTTGAGCTGATTGAAGCAGTTTCTCCGACCCTTTCTTTATCCCTGATAGAAGCCATCCTGTGTAGGTAACACTTCAAAAAATGGGATCAGTAGTGGGATCGGGAAGGTGGAATGATGTGAATGAGAACAAATTCAGTTAAAATTCATTTATACATATATAACAGTGCCAATATAGAAATCGAGTAAAGCCTAACAATTAAATATTATATACAGACCAGTTTTACGAATCTACCCGTATTCCATACTGTTCTTGACTAGTTACCATTGGTGTATCATCGATTACTCATAAACTAATAAGTGAATCGCCGAGTCAAGTACAGTAAAACCATTATTAAAGGTGCAACAGGGACGAATTGACGTGATCCGAACGAAGTGTGCGGTAAAACATCGGACGTGTTCTCGCTGGACTCTGTGGTGTGCAAGGAAACGATCGATAATGACCCAGATCCTTCGTCCTGAAAATGGAATCGAAAATTGAAGAGATGTTGATGAAGTTAGTAGAGAAGGAAGTCGAGATAGTATTTAATAGTGCTTGAGGCCCAGGTTATACCCCTACAACTAAGGAATAAAGCAATTGGGAAGTGAGTTTACCTAAGATTCTTGTAGGAAAGGTCTAAGTCCGCATGAGCTACGGGAACTCGCCCTGCATTAGGGAGGCTTCAGCCTCGCCTCCAGGACAAGGAGGAGTAACGTGCTCCAATTGCATTTCGCAGCGCTGGCGCGCGCCAGACTTCACACTATGTATCCAAGCTTCAAGTCGAAGGGGGCGGCGCCCATCCTCCCTAGCGGAAAAGGGATGAAATTGTTTACCAGGTTGCATATTTACTGATAGGTACTATGCAATTCTGATTGAGTAATAAACGCTTAACCACACCCATACATCAGGACAGAATGCGGCCAAAGAGAGAGTTACCAGGGACAGGGTACTGAGGTGGCTACATCTCCTGAATTCGAGGTAGCTACCTCCTTCAGCGGTACTCTCCACAGCAAGTTGTGATGAAGTGGTTGACTGGTCGATATGACAAAAGGTTCATGTCGGATTACACCAGGTATGAACGCGCCTGTCGCGACGCAATCGGCGTCGAGCAATCACTTTTCGTACGGGAGGGGGTGGGCGGGGGCGCATGCCCCTTCTTTGGTTTTAGTTCTCTACTGTTAGACACTTTGAGAACTTGGATGGTTCGATCAAGAGTGGCATTGTTCGGAGATAATTTTAAGTGGAAAAATATGGAAAAAAAAGAAAAAAACGCCCTCGAACTCACATAGTCCTCGTCATCATCGCTGTCTCCACTGCCTTCGATCTGGTAATTAGTGTAGTTATGTCCATGAAGAGCGTTTTGGAGACGAAATGCAAGCATTCCCAGACGAAGTCGTTCATCAATGAACACTCCTGAAAGATGAAGGAAATCGTCGGAAAACCTTCCCACTTCTCTGTCTGGGACACTCAAGGTGAACCAGCAACCTGTGAAACTTCTTTCGATGGTTCTCACCTCTGTAGGGCAAAATACGTGCGGCCTGGTACTCTGGATTCTTGCCTTGGCTTGATAGTCCATCTCCGGCCAGCTCTTTTGTATAAGATGCCGACTGGTTACCATTCCAACACTTCTCGCCATCTGGAGCCACTAGACCAGAGTCCGAACAGAATGCCTTTGGTAATCCCGTGAACCATCCCCGAAGGACGCTTAGCTGAAAGATTTTATGGTCAAATTCCTTTCCAATTCTTTCACAACCATTAAGACCACCTTTAAGAGGCTTTGGAGCGTTAAGGAGGAGCACTTGTCATCGCTGAGCTTTGCTAAGGCGATTACTATCACTGATAAGGTGATGGGGAAAAACTTACGCGATCAGCGAACGAATTCATCAGGGAGGTCAGTACTTTGCCATAGTTTTCAGCGCGTTCCGCAATGCTACGTAGAGCCAAATCTCGTTGATTCCTTCTAGCTCGAGATCGGGTCAGTGAGTCCAGATGACGAGGTTCCCGGATGACGTCGTCAATTGTATAACATCGGGCGATTACCTGAAAAAAAAGGACTTCACTTCAAAGTAGGTTATGCTCAAGTCCTGTTGGGATATGGCCCATTCGATAGTTCTGGGACCATCCAAGATGGCTGCTGTTTGGGATTATAAATCTAGCGGCTATGTCTTTTGTTCAATGTGTAACATGTCGACCTATCCTATACTATCTGCCAAAGCTAATTGCCAAGTACCAATGTATTCAGTCCGGGTCACTGCCAGACTATAATATGCACCTTACCTCTGTGAATACTGTAATTAAACGGGATCGATTAATTGACAAGGAACAGCAGTGAATTGATCGATTACTCCGGGATTCCAGGGTAGATTATGTTTGAACTGTCTGCGACAGTAATGATGATTGATGACTTTTATGAAGAGGTGTAAAGGTGGACAGGCGTATCTGCGGGTCAATCACTACATTGGAGTAGGTGTAGAAGAAAGGCTGCAGGGTATTCTTGGGTATGCACCGACCTTCTTGGATTTGCACCCCAAAACCGATCATCACCTCTTTTATCCCTATTCACAGCAATGTCAGAGAGCTCAGGTCACTTTTTCAGTGTCAGTCTTCTTACAATCCTTCGTAGTTCATGCAAGAAGGGGATCGGCGAAAAGCTGTGTGGGGGTATCCCTAACATGAACATGAAGTCTTTCCCGAGTGGGAGTTGCATACTTGTTTTGCATAGACTTCAATGGAACTTGGCAGACTTCCAAGTGCAGATGCAGTTTAAGCTTCCTTCTGTACCTGCCGAAAGCTCTATCCAAGGCACTCTACCCATACCGTCTTGGTGAAGTTAAGCCCTCCCGGAAAATGGACCCACCGAAAGCGGGAGATGAGGACAATACTCATCGGGCCAACTGTCTGGTCGAATGTGAGCTGATGCTAGGGCTATTTTTTCAAGTTGGGAAGGAGCTATAAAAGTAATGACCAAATGACAGATAAGTCCTATCGAGTGATCTTTGATTGTCCAGACCAAAATCGAGCGGTATCAATGCCATCCACTAGGATTTAATGAGAGAACCCCTGAGGAGCGGCGAAACCATTCACACACGGCGCATTTCATAGATTTCCACATGACGGACCACCATCATCACCATCATCGGTGATTGATACGCAAATTTGTTTGCTATGGTCCTTGACCCGTTCGTTTTACGACTTGCTCGCCCACTGACGACAACAAACAGCACATTGCGCATTGTCTTCAGCTGACGGTTTCCGCCGCCATCGCCGCACCGACGAAGATACACGCCGTTTCACATCAGAAGCTGTCATAGGATGGTTTGCAGCACTGTCAATTCCCAGAAAGTGCTGGGAGCAGGATTAAGGATTATCATGTGTGATAACAGACTTCCGGTGACATTTTCTTGATGTGGTGTGTACTAGTCAATTCGAGACTGTTTGAAAGAAAGGTCGGGAAAGGCTAAGCTCCCATTTTGTAGGGAAACAAAATTGAAATCACCTCTCTTGAGTGGGGGGAGGGGGTTAAATCTTAGCAGAGTGAAAGGAAATGAAGAAATGAGGTGAATGACAAATTAGATCCTTGTGTTCACCAGTTTTCAGAACCGTCTAAAGGGTTCATATTTCTGTTGTACGAGTTCAGAAGAACTCAGGAAATCAGGACCGCTGTTTTCTGAATGCCAGCCGCGCGTCCAGTGCTTTTCAGAAAGGTATTCCTTTGTCTCTTTTTGACCACTGCTGGTTAACTAGTAATATTGGATTGGGAATGCAGTGGAACTTCAGCTAGTGAGTGAGAAAATGAATGAAATTTGATCAGAACAAACCTTATTAGAGACGGTCACACTTCGTTCTTGCATTTCCATGACGGCCTCGCTTAGCTGAACTGGCAGTGGTTGAAGAGCTTGATAGAGATTTTGAGGGTCTTTTAGTCGAGCCGCCATCTTCAACAAGGCTTCTGAAAGGATAAGTATATCGTTATGACTAAAAGCTTGGAGGATACAATGGAACAACCATAAGAGAAACGCTTGTGTCTACTTAATAGGTCTTTACTCGAAACCTTTTAATTCATCCAAATTGAGGTTTCGCAAAACTCCTTTAGCATTTTAGCCAATCTCAGTCTAGCATGCACCTGCGCCCAGTTTTGCGAGGGGTCAGCGCCATAGGAAGCAGTACCCCAGCGGGGGAGTTAATCCTCTTACATAAGCGTTGTCGAGTGCTGATTGACAATATTTATTGAAGGTCTCTGTAGGAGTTTGGAACAATGCCAACTAGAAATAACTGGTTTACTTTGAAGGGCACAACACTCGCCCAGCGTTTTCCTCTGAGCTCCTTCCAGGTTTAAGCAGGTCGATGAATAGAAAAGGGAAGCTATCTTTGGAGGCATCGCGCATTTCATTAGGCGCCGCTGCCGACAAAGTCTGACCCATTTCGCTTTCAGTAGAAAGCCAGTGTATGCGTCATTGAATTCGGTCTCTTAAAGCCTTGCGAGTGGAGTGTGACAGTCAGAAGCGGAGTAACCGGTCGACGCGGATGTAAAGTTCAAAGCCGTTGACACATCAAAGCCAAGCCGCACCACTTGGTTACTTGCACTCGACAACTCGCAAATGGCAACTTGTCAAATCTCTGATCAGCTTTATGCCGTATTTCAATCAACGTTAGCTGGAGCTTTTGGAATCACCAGTAAGGGGCTTCTGGGTATTTTGAAGAACACTTCAAGCTTCAAAGTTAATATTGTAATAAATGAAACAAAGTAGTAAAGTAATAAAAAAAATTAAGTGAATTCTAAAATTTCGAGAATTGTTTTGAAAGGGGAAATTTTGCAATTTGTCTCCTCTCAATCTCACTATGAACCCCAATAGTCAACGACAACGAAGGAAAGAAAAGAAATCCAATAAAATAAAAAATAACAGAAAAAAACGAAGTGAAAAGGACGATCTTCCCCACATGTATGCCCCTCAGGCACTTACAAATTACCAAGAGAGAACTTTTTTTGAAAAAGACTTAAAACTCATTACAAACACATTGAGATTGTTTACTTGTTTACTCGTTACTCGATGTGACGTTCTTCTTTGTTTTCCCCTTTCGCTTTTACTTATCATGAACTTTACTTTCTGTACCGATTCCCTTTTGTTTATTTCAACCTAAGAATCTGATTAAGATTCTTTCTTTGTGTTGCCACCTTTGTACTTCACTGGCCGTTATAAGAACTAAGGGCCACGTATTGAGCACTTTATTGATTGTTGTTATTGATTGCTTCTTAATGAAAATGAAACTAACCAACTACAGCATTCCATTGTTGATCGACTTCAGCCCAATCGGCGAGACATCCTTTCATGACGTTTAAACATAGGCCTGGACAGGGTTTTGATTGCGGCTCTCCCGAGCACAGTGAACAGTCCCACATTTTGGCCAGATTGACCCTACACTCGTTCGATATCGATACCTGGAAATTTCAAAACTCAGACAGTAGAAAAGTTTCTAAATAAGGCTTTTCGCCAGGGTTGTCTTCTTCAAAAAGGTGTATTCTTTGAATCGAAGCCTTCATTGCTGGCATAAGTTTTTTCATTTTAAAAATATGGGTATCACTGATCTGAATTCCAGATTTTAGTAGATAATCTGTATCGATAAGTTGCGTAGTGTTGCATTCAGGGGCAGCCCTTTCACGATCAAGAATAATTCCCTAGCCGAACCGACTTGTC